AACTTCAAAAATGGCGGAAGAAAATAATTCTGACAGTTTTCAAATTGCAACAATGGAATAACAAGTTATTGTTAAATGGATCATTCCAGAAGATAGGTAAGTAATTATGTTAGAAATAAAACTTTTTTTGTTTGCATATATATGATTCATAAAATGTTGTCGCCATGTTTGTTCAGTCTCCTGGTCACGGAAAAACGTTATATCACACATACATTAGTTCGCTGCATGTGTTTTGCGGTCTGACGGTCTCTTTCTGCTACTATCACAATATACCGCTCCTCCATAGCCATTCATACTCATAGACAACTTTGCTGACTCCTCGAAGAGCTGTTTCTACTGTTTGAAGTGGTTTCCAGGTTCGAGAAACGATGCTGTGAGCGATTTCGTACTCCTCCGCCACACTTGTCATAATTAAACTTTAATCCAACTTCTCAATATTGCGATTTGGAGTAAAGTAATCCAGATTATATCTCCTGGATTGCGTGTTGGCCAAATCCTACTGTAGTAGCAACTCAGTGTCATTAAATTCATTTTATATTGTGCAATAACTTTCAACAAATTGCTGACCTGTACTGCCAGTGTGCTTTATATCCTTCCGATATTCGTCCTTTAAGTCATGGGCCAAATATGCACATGCCCTTCTGTATAGGTCCCAAGCGTATCACCTGATTGGTCGTTCGGTCCATTCTATTGCAATGTTTTTCTTTTATGTTAATTTCACACCCTCGTCCTCCATTTTTGCACACCAGTGTAGATGGTTTAAAATAAACCATGTCAAAAATGAATCTAAAATAATGTGTATAATTTTCTATATGAATTTATATATTAAAGTACCCTAATGTACAAGTGCCAAATACTGAAGAAGTTCGAGTGTCTCACCAACTAGAGCTAACGATCCCTAATTTAGTGTTGAAAATAGGTAGTATCCTGTATAAAATGTATATTCTGACCTACTTTTAAACAAAAGGACTTAAATTGGGATTCTTCATTTCAATTGTTGAGCACTCCTAAACATTTGTTTTTCATCAGAGAGGAAAAAGAAGTGAAAAAACGTCTGGTCAGGAGCCTGGCGCTTTGAAAATTTTTCTAAATGTACTTGCATTAGTTATTAGGGCCGGCAAAGCCAAAAAAAGGGGCAGTAGGGTCGAAAATGAAATTAAATTCTAGCTAGCTTTACTGTTAGATAGGAAGGCAAAAATATGGTTAGTTTCTTAAATAAGAAATTTAACTAGAAAGTAATTAATTATAATGGAAGGATAATAAATGAATAAAGAGTAAAAAGTAATAAGAAAAATATCAATAAAAATTTTAAATTAGGTTAAAATAATGGATGGAGAAAGGATAAAATTTTTTTTAAATGCTTTGAATGTTGCAGAAGAATGTTAAATAACTGATGGGAATGGATATATGTTACAATAAATTTCTGACAGAAAATTTATTTAAAATGATCAGATATGTTATCTTACCCAAGATATTAACACTCATGCATTTTTTCAGGAACTGAGTGGAATAAATGAGTTAAGAGAAGAGAAACAATGTTGTTAACAAGGGGTGATTGTCGAAAGCAGTCTCCCCCTCAAAAAAAGGACACAAACGAAAAGACTAGAAGTTTCCATTTGTTAACACTGGCAACAGTAGTTTAGTTTAGAACAAGATTTCTCAAACATTTTGGTGTGGGGACTTCTAATATTTATGAAAATTTTGTGGGACGCCATAAGCATTGCGCACATCCGACCCAGTGAAACTATCACACTTGTACTGTAATATACTATTGCAGTTTCAGGTCATTGACTTTAACTTTTTAAGTAAAATGAACGTTTCTGTTATTAAAAAAAAGGGTCAAAACGTTTTCTTTTTTTCTTTGTCTGTATTTCTTTACCCTATCAGTTTGGGTTCATGCGTAAGCACTGGACTACGCATCAACTCTACAGAGTTATTGAGTTAATAAGCATTGGGATGCAACAACATCGTGTCACTGGTGGACTTTTCTTAGATGTCGCCAAGGCCTTCGATAGAGTATAGCTGGATGCCCTCATATACAAATTACACAACCTGGGACAAATCCTACCTAACCGGTAGACACTTTGTCGTTCATGTTTCTGGTTCATTATCCACAAACCGGCCTATACGGGCTGGTGTTCCACAGGGATCCCTTCTGGGCCCTACCCTATTCAATATTTACGTGAACGACATCCCCACTACACACAACACAACACTAGCCATGTATGCAGACGACACAGCGATCCTTACGCAAAGTGCATTTGTTAGTTCAGCAATACAACAGCTACAACACCACATCCACTCGCTAGAGACTTGGCTGACCAAATGGAAAGTCAAAGTGAATGTCGACAAGACACATGCCATACTGTTTACTACTAAGAAGAATTTCCCGACTCACCTGCAAATGTATGTGTGTGGACATTCCCTGGGTCAAGCAGGTCCCTTATCTTGGGGTGATCCTCAGTAAATCTCTTACATGGAACCCACACGTTACACATATTCTCAGGAAGTTTCGAGCTAGTAAAGCTTCACTCTTCCCCTTAATTGCTCGAAACAGTGTTCTATCTATTGATAATAAGTTGCTCATTTACAAAACCATGTTGCGTCCAATTCTTAGTTATGCATGCCCCGTCTGGGCATACTCGTGCAAAAGTTTGAGAAGGCAGTTACAAGCTGCCCAAAACGGGGTATTGCGTATGATATGTAATGCCCCCTGGTACATTCGGAATAGCCAAATTCGTAAAGAGTTAAGAATAGAGGATCTTTGTGATTTTTATTGCCGCCTATCTAGGGCATTTTATGATATAAACAGGAACTTCTGGACAATCCTGTGGTTGTTAACTATTGTTATGATACTAGGGACCCCAATTTCAGTAAACGCCCAAGGGCGATCCTAAATGTTAGTAATGTGTAATTTTGTATATGTGTTATGCAAATTGTTGCTCAGATTCTTTATTGTATATTGTTCTTTTTTCCTCCTGATTGCTTTTTGTTTTTACTAGTGGCACTAAGGCGTCGCACTTCGTATTTTGTTTCTCTTGTGTGTACATGTATTCTTCTGTGAAATAGTTGTTAAAAAAATAGTTAATTATGTATGGATTAGTAATTAGGTACTTAAGGAAAAAAAATATGTATTTAACTATTAGCAATTATGAATTTAAACTCTTGCTCATTTAATTATTTAGCACATTCAGTTATATTTCTCATAATTCGAAACTTTTATCATGTTATTCGATGAGGGTAGGGCTATGGCGCCCAGGCACCCTGGTGGTTAAGCACCGCAGAAGTCTGTTCGTTCTCTTTAAGCCAGGAGGTTAAATGAGAGGGAAGTCATCAACGGGTCGCGGCCTGTTTCTGTATCGCTGGATTTGTGCAGAAGTCGTATTGCAATTTTTTTTTCTTTTTTTCGAACATGTCGCTTGTGTATATGGATGCCAAAAGATTTCGAAAAAGATTCCTGGGATTACGTTTCACGCGTAAGTAATGATTTTCTTTTTTTTTATGTAATTTGATAACTATGGTAAAAAAATCATGTTGTTTTCTTTCCAGATGTAAAAAAGGGACTTAATAATAATGAAAATATGTTAAATACATTTCAATGTTTCTGTTTATAGCTGGTATCTTTGTTCCTAACATACAATGATGTATATGAGGATTTAAACTGTATAATTTGAACGTTTTAGGTAATCATTTGATAATTTTCATGAAAAGTAAAACACCAATCGTTACTACTTTTATGAATTTAAAGGTGTTAAATAAAATAATGCTTTTCTTATGTATTAATATTATCATTTTAAGTTTTTGCATTGTTAGAATATTTTGTGCATTTGATCAAGAAAACTAACTTTTCTGTTGGTTAAAAGTTTTGCATAAATTTACAAATTGTGGGCATAAGCGATAAAGTAAGTAAATATTTACACAGCTGACATGTGGAAAGATGTATCCAAAAATATAGGTATATTCTCTAATTTTGCTAATTAAGCAATTTCTTTGAGATTCATAATATGAAACGCGCATAAAATGAAATCACTGAATTCACATAAATCTGTTTATTTATAAATTTATTTTCTTGTTGTATAAGGTTGTTAGTTGTGAAAAGAATCTAAAACTTTCATTTAAAAAAAATGCAACCTGTGACTATTTTTTAGATAATTATCTGCTATAATTTCAGGTTAAATATATTTTAAATGATTCTTTAATAAAATTACAAATTGTGAATTAATCAGAAATATCACTTCTTAAAGGAAAAAACTGGAAAGTACACCCAACAGGTTTCTAAGAAAACCTAAACAAATTCTATTTTAAGGCTTTAATATTATGCACATGAATTTAGATTCGAAAACTATTTCTTAGTGATTTTCTGTACGTAGTAAATTACGGATATCATCTTTGTAACTTTGAAACAAAAAACTAACAATAGCGAAGTATTTCATTATAAATTTTATATATTTGTAGTGGAAAGTGCATGCACGGAACAGCTTAAAAACACGTACGTTTCACTGCCGTAATGCAATGTTTTGAAGTTACAAACATGGGCGCCGCTTGTTCGTTTGAGTTTCATTCCCCGATTGTGGAGGAAACTGCGAACCCTCCCTCCTTATATTCTAACCTCCTTGCTTAAAGCTAAAGCTCTAAAGAGACAACCAGACAGACACAGGTCCAATGTCTTGTTTTGCACCCGCTAAGCCTTTTTGCTCGAAAGATAGACAGATGTTTTGTATTCGACAATTACAGTTAAGCTATCTTTCTAAATAAGTACGTGTGATATTTTAAATATTTTTGCTTAAATAGATAAATTTTGCTCTTTTTCTAAATGATATTTGTTACAGTAATCTTCTGAAAAATTTTGAATGCAAAGCTGTAAAAATAAAAGAATTTCAAGATAATACTATGCAACAAAAGTGTGCTGATTATTCATAACTGTAATAATGTCTGCTATTTGATTTAATGGCTGCTCTGGTAGAGAAAGTGTATTGAAGTTCCTAAAGTGATGTATGTTTTGTTGATGTGTGCGCTATTTTATTCCTCGTGAATGAGTACGGTGCTCATATTTTGTTTTTAAATTACGTCGGCTTTCTATTCAGTTGTAACAATTTTCCAGTCCACTGTATATGCTTCGTTTTTTGTGTTTATTTACTACAAGGGATATTATTTTCTGAATTTATTTATTTGGTATGTTATATTTTATATTTTCATTTAAATTTCTGTTAATGATAAGTAACTTGAAGTTGCTTGAAGAGAATAATATACTGACATTAATTTAATTATTCTATATAATACAGTTTCGTAATAACTTCTGGTGACACCTGGGCTGTATTTGACAATTTACAAATTTGGTAAATGAAAAAAAATTTAATTTCATGTCTTTTAATGTGGTTTATAATGTTGTGGAGCTATAATGGCTGAATGAAAAGATAATCATTTTCCGTGTATATTGGAATTACATTAGTATCGATGAGAGTTTGAGTACCTCAATTATTTTAACTACATTTACCTTCCTCCGTTACATTTATTAAAGTAATTTTAAGCGCATTCACCACAAATAAATTTGCAGCAAATTAGGAAAATAAAGAATTTCGAATGATGTACGCGGGAAAAAGTATTTGATTCGCTTAAAGATTTATGAAAAAATATGTTTTAAGTGAAATACCATAGTCGTTGCAAGTAAAAATTATGTTTGATGAAGTAATGGTAATAAAAATTTAAGTGTTTGATGGACTTCCTTATCCCCATTTCACTGTTATGGGAGAATTTTAAAATGAGTTTAAGGAAGATTCAGTGAAATGACACCTTTTTTATAAGTATTAATGAATCTTTTATTAATGTTTGCTTTTAAACTACTTTACTATACTTGTGGTTAATGAGGCATAATATTTAAAAGTTATGTGAAGATAAAATTTTTCAAGCTTTTGACCTGGAATAATATGAGAATTGTTTTAATAATTAATATAGAAATCTATGTGGAGAAAGTAAATTCAACTTTCAGTAGTGAATTTAAAATTACATCAGACAGATAAATGGTTAAGAAAGACCATGAAAAACTTTAGAAATTTCAGGGGGGAAACAGGGAGTTTTACTATAAATTATAGATCCTTAATTTGAAATTTTTCTAAACCTAATACAATTTCTGCTCAAATGGAAGTTTTTCTGTTACAGCATGATTATTATTTTAGATTTGTCTTAAGTTGTAATAATTTCCAGTATAATGACTAATTCGAAAGTGTTGAATTGTTTTTGAGTATGTATATTATTTAATTTATATTGCACACTGGATATAAGAAAGATGTTATTTAGTAACTTTTAGGATGCTGAAATTATTAATTCACTTCCGACCTTAAAATTCCTACAAAGTATTATTTTTATCATTATTATGCAATAGTGTTCCTTTGAATTTTAAATGTCATAAATATAAGGTCTTTATCTGAAGTGCTGGATTCATGCATACATGTTATTTGCTCAGAAATAAGGCCTTTTTATGTTGCTATATTTTTGCTGTAAAATTTAGAAGGGTCTTGTAAACGAGTATTTTAACAAACAGAATTGCAGAATGAGGTAGTTTAATTCCACTGTTTTATAATTCTTGTTCCTAATATGTAGAATAATTCCTCTGTTTAAATGTTAAATAAATCCAGTAACTTATTATCAGATTTTATAAACTGCCTAACTACTGGTAATTATAATAGCCTTGTATAGTTGAACAATTTTAGTTTAAACCTGCGTATACTACTGGTTACTGGAATGTCAAAAACAAACAAGTTAGATTGCATCATTAATTTTTAATTCTATACCATAGTGAAACAGCATAATTTAATTGTGACTTATGTGTTTTCTAAATGAATAAAACAAATGAATTCTAATCAGAACCGTGCTCTCATCAAATATTGACTTTTTTTATTTCTTAAAATTTATCCTAAATTGTCTTATTTTCATGCAAAAAAAATTGTGTGTGTGTGCGCGATTAACATTTTAAATCAAATATTTTCAAATAAAAGTTTAAATTTTATACCTTTTCAGTCCACAGTATGTCAAATTTGATTCTGTAATCGTATAACATTTGGGTCTGTCTCAGATATGATGGCAGTTATCCTAGTGACTCATATTTCAGAATTTTCTACTTAGCAAACTGAAAATCTTCTGTGGCATCTTAATGTTAACATCAGAATGTGACCAAAAAAAAATCCTTTGGTCTTTTCATAGAATTCACATTGTTAACGAGCTGTAGTTTTGTTTTTGAAATATAGTCGGGATTTGAAATCTGAACTGTGGAACATTTTTAAACAATTGATATTTAAATTTTAATTACATTATGTATTACTTTGATTATCCACAACCCCACGAAATGCCGGAAATGGGTTGCCGACTTTTCTGAACTGATGAAAAAACTTTGTTTGGCTATCTTCATAACTTGTAGGCCTTTTCTTTTCACTAGTTAATTAGAAAAAGCATTTTATAGGAAACAAAAAATGTTATGAAGAAAACAAAACCTATAGCCAATATTTATAATTTACGGCTGTAAGTAAATATAGTGTGCAAATTCTTGTGTGCTCGAACATTAGTCGGTTTTAAATTGCAATTTTATCAAATGATGCAACCAGAGATCCAAATAACCAGGAAGTACCCATTATGTATATAATAGTAATTTCAAATCACTTTAAATGTACTGTGCATTAATTGTAGAAGTAATAAACAAAAGTAATTGCGTTTCTGTTAGAACTAATAGTGGATTCTAGTTTTAGCACAAGAGACAGTTTCATTAATAACTTGGTACCGGTCTGCGTTCAAATTACTGTCGATTCAGACTAGAAATGTGCCTGTCGTGCACCCAATGGCATGTCTGCCATATAAATACATGTGGGTGACATCAGGGATTTTCACATAACTGTTTTGGCAACATACTGCTTTGCCTTGTAAATACTTTGATGAAGTATAAAGATGATTGGATGAAAGTATAGAGAATAAGGAAGTACCTTTTCTTCTTTATAGCAGTTTGTATATAAGTTAAAAACAACACATGGCTTGTTCTGTGTTTCAATTTACTGCATTTTCTTTATTAAACTAGAATGAACTAGAAACTTTAAATTAATGGAATGAACTAAAGTTCTTTCCATTAATTTAAAGAATATTGTATGTCACCTTTCTGTTTAGGTTTATTTATATTAAAAGGAATTATTATGAGAAGATATTTGCTTATATCTGGGGGGAAAAAAGTTTTGGAAGTGTATGAAAGTTTAAAGAAGAAGGTAAATTACAGTCAAACTTTGCTTAACAAGCACTTCTCATGATAAGTAATGCACTAAAGAAAATGTTTAAAAAAAAAAAATTCTTTAGCTAGCAAGCTTGCATCTCAGCTATCAGTCTGTGTTTACCACTCGTTTGGTTAGCATCTTACTGTCTCTTGGGAAAGTTGTATTCAGACACATTATTATGTATCTTTATTTAATACAAAGTTTAAGCATGCTTACACTTTTGTCCCTAAAGGAAAGGTTCACAAGAAGAGAGGGGTAAAAGAAGGATTGTCATCATAGGAGTCATACATCAAATCGTTGAGAAGTGAGAATGAAGTGTGAGCGGACTGACTTAGAATGTCCATATCAAAATATTTGAACTGTCCTCGGCTATGTCACAAAAGGATTTATACTGTTCTCAAATATGTGTGTCCTCAAATCCAAAACACAAATATGAGGATAAGATTAAAGAGATTCATGCTTCAAAAGGTGTTGCAAGGATTTCTATGCAACAGTCATGTATTCTCAACAGTGTTCAGAGATTGCTTCTCATTTAGATAAACAAGAAAAAAATATTAGGCAATGCTATAAATGAAAACATAATTTGCGAGAAAGTGAATTTAATTACTGCCGACCTCATGAAGAAGATTTTTGTATTTTGAGCATTCAAGGCAAGCCATGTGTGGTTTAAGAGAAGAACTGGCATTCACAGCATTGTGCAGCACAGGGAAGCAGTAAGCTCAGAAATAAAAGGCAGCCAAGAACTTCATCAGGTGTTCAAGAAACTGGTGAATTCTGAGGATTATCTATTGTTGCAGATTTTTAACTGTGATAAGAAAGGTCTCATTTGGAAAAGGATGTTGAAACAAACTTAAAAGTCTTGAGGCTAAATGTCATGGAAAGATCCAAAGCTTGGGTGATATGAGATCTTTTTATAAATGAGATCAATGAAGTGTTTGGTCTGTCTGCAGAAAAGTATCTGCTTGGAGACAAATTTGCTACTGTGTGCCTTGTTTCTTATGGACAGTGCTTCTGCACATCCTCCAGCCTAAAAGATGAACTCCTCGAAGAATTTAAATTCTGGAAAATTTGGTTAGTACTTCTCAACTTATAGTCCTTTACTGCTGCCTATGGTAGTCGATGGTAGTAGTTTCAAAATTTAAAAAGCTCTACACTAAAACACTCTTCTGAAGAAATCATTCTCACTTCTGGAGAGTTTTGGAAAGGCCACTTTCACATCGTTACTTGCTTTAACATGATCTACAAGGAATGGGAAAGCATCACCAAGAGAAACCTTATGTTTACATGGAAGAAGATTTGGTTTGAGCAAGTGCCTGTGCTGCCTTAATTGACAAAATCGTGTGTGGCCAACATTATGGGGCTAAATGTGGATAGCGACGAAGATAGTGGAAGAGCATAGACAGGAGCTGACTGCTGAAGAGTTTATGGAGCTGCATTCAATATCACAAGAAGAAGTTATGAAAGAGATTTTGTCAGGGGAGGAGACAACAGCCTTAGCAAATCAACAACCTCCCAGTAAAATAAGGGAGAGGCTGAAAGCAAGGGAAACTATTGATTGTACATTGAAAATAAGACAGTAGATATGCAAGTTAAAATTTTATTTAATGATAATGTTGGGTCTCATTTTTACCAAAAAGTGTAGGGAAAAACAAATGCCTTCAAATTTCTTGTAAAAAAGAATATATTATAAATAAGTGATATTATTATAAATTTGTTGAGCTTATTTTTTTTCATTATTCCATTTAACGTTAATTCTTATACAATTTTTTTTTCCTTAATGACTATTTTGTATTACATATAAGATTAAGGAATTGTGCTCATTAAGCAAAGTTCCACTATATATATCTATTAACAATCATTAATGTTATTATTAATGATTAATTAACCGTTAATTTTAATATATAAAAAGTGCAAAATCTAATAAAT